GCTCAATCCCATTTTTTCTACATCCACCACATATATTTCTCTGGCTTGTACTGTCAGACATCATACAGGGTTTCACTCGTGTTTGAACGGCATAGAACTGCCAACGTCATAGTGTCGACCACTCCCTGTCTTCTTGTGAAAATATTGTACTTCAGACAATCTGATCCTCTGCTTTACAGAAAAACAGTTGGGAAGAGTAAGGTGTCTACTTCTCTTTTGACTGTTGCCATGTTTCGGAGTACTTTCTCTGACGTGTCTAGCGTGTGACCTCAACCCAGGAAATATTATCAACGTATCTTGCGTGATTAGGCGTTCCTTGTATGTCGGCCCAAGGCTGTTCTACCCTACATTCCACAAGAATGCTTCACTAAAGAATGACCCAATGTACTCATCGTTACTTTGTCTTTTTGGCAGTGAATGGAACCATGGATTTTGAACTGTATGTTTTCAGCATAGGATAAAAGTAGTGAGTTGAGGTCTCCGGTAGGCATATTCAAATCAGTCTGACTTGGGCCAGCCTAGTGGCACAAATGGTTTCTTGCAATAACATACTTGTGAACATCGATGGCACGTTCAAAGTCATCATTCTGGCGTCAGTGATGTTGAAGTGATTGGCAGTGAATGGAACCATGGATTTTGAAGTGTATGTTTTCAGCATAGGATAAAACTAGTGAGTTGAGGTCTCTGGTAGGGATATTCAAATCAGTCTGACTTGGGCAGCCTAGTGGCACAAATGATTTCTTGCAATAACATACTTGTGAAAATCGATGGCACGTTCAAAGTCACCATTCTGGCGTCAGTGATGTTGAAGTGGGATCTCAGTTTAAACTATACATGACTAGTTGTTTTATAACCAACCGGTTGCAACGACTCTATCAGTCACTGCACAAGTGCATGTTGGGATGAAAACACATATCCAAGATTGGCCGCAAGTCGTGGATCTTCGACAAAATTTGCAGTCTGTCTGTGGTGCTGCAAGCTAGGCGCAGCGGAACAAGCGTTCCAAAATGAATCCTTCCTCCTTGTATAAGGACTTGCAACATCTTGGACGCTGAATATTTTGAAAGCTCACTCTCGTCCTTTTTTGGATCTTTGCTTACGCTAGGAAATGCTCACACTCTATGAAGTAAAACTATATTAGTGGTTTAGTTTTGCTCACTGGCAGGGTTCGACACAGTCATTTCAATTCATCCTTACAACGGTAACCCTATCGGAGCGTCAGTGAGTTAGTATTTAGAAAGACTTCGATAAGCCGAGTTTGCTTATTTTCAGACTGATGTTCTGCGTCTAATGGTTTGCCTTTGGAAGAACCATTAGTCAATTTTTGGACAACCATTCAGTCAACTTTCGGCTCAACACTTTATGCCTTCTGTTTGTTGTTTTTATGTGAATCGGACGTTAAGGTCTGTGGCATATTCACGGATATTTACAACCACCCATACAACGGTGGAGAAACTCTATTCACATAGCTAGATTCTAAACTTAACATAATTGCAAACTTATTCCACAAACGGTGGGTCTTTGGCCAGCACATAAAAAAGTAGCCGTAGATGAAAGTCAGTTTCCGAAAAAAACCGATTTGCGCATTTCATGATTTCAACCACTTTACCTGGTCACAGAAGTGGGGGTTAGGTGGCTATATAAGTAGACCGAACATTTGCCATAATACGCATGGTTGTATCAAACTTTTTACCACGAAAACAAAACAGCACCAAAAGCTGACGGTTTTGGTCGAAAAATTTCGCCTATCTATAGAACCCGAGGGTTCTGATTTTTTCCACACTTTCTACTTCGAACCGCTTTTTACATCGGTTTGTATAGAATGGTATTTTCCAGGCGATAAAGTCACAAACATGACACTTTCAAAGTTGGGCGCTGGTCGGTTATATTGGTGCGGCATAAAATATAACCACTCTCAAAAAACAGGAGAAAGTGTTCACCATAAGGTAATTCAGACCATCAAAGCAAACTGAGGCAGTGGCTACAGAGGGCAACAATTGTGCTGTTTTGGCTTTCTTGATGACTCCAGCAAGGGCGGAAGGGAAGTTGGAGGGAAGGCTCTCTTAAATAGAATGTATAAGAATCTAACTACCTAAGGGTTTAATAACAGTGGAACGACCGGGCAACTCATACTAGCCAACAAGCACCGTGACTTAATTTGACCTTTTCTTCAGGCCTTTTCTTTAGCCCGACCTTGCATTGTTTCGAACGCACAAGGTGTCTGGATCGGTCGCCCTGCGGAATTCGAGTGGCCTGGGGACATTGCTCTGTTTCGGCGTATTTATAAATCTTGGTAATTGGAGTCCAAACTTGTTGTCATCACTCAAGGCGGTACCACTCTGCGATCTCACTCTGCTCGGGTTTATGTGATTCCTAATCTGTACACAGTTTTCCTCCCGTTTTCGACTATACGCCGGTTGGTTGGGGTTTTTAGTCCGCTGGGTGGGTCTGGATTCGGTCGAAATTACCAACCAATTTGTGCACTTGTCAATCTCCAAATAATCGATCACGCTGTAGTTTCTATATATACCTCAGAAACTACATAAGCGTAGGCGAAGTTGGAACATTTACCCATCCAACTGAAAATTAATAATGTCCCCTAGCCTGGTAAAGAGACGCTTACAAGCTTAGCCAAGCTCGGCTAACAGATCAACCACCATCGATTCAACAGGCATCAAATAAATGTAACAAATTTAGAATGACTTATGAAGACTTGGAAATTCTTCCTCAGTTGTGTCAGCATTTGCGTTTTTTCACTGACTAGTAGTAACCTTAAGGAATCCATTTATTCACTGAATGTGAGCGGCGATTGATTATCGGGGGATAAACTGACACCGTGGATTGAAAACAGGAGAAGAGCTGGCTTTTCTGTCAAGACACTAGCGCGCGTGTACCTGGTTTGTGAATGTTCATCAGTTTGCGGCCATCTGGTATAGTCTGTCAGTCAGAGCTTTTCACGTTTCTGATTTAGGTGGCGCTAAAATTTTAAAACACCTATGGTGTCTAGTCCACAGTGATGTCCCGTGATTCGCTATCCCTCTACCTATCTAGTCAGGCGGATATCGATAGAAATTTTATCACCATGTTGCTTAGTTTATTCCAAGGACTTTGATTGCATGTAAACTCTAGTGACTGACCGGTGGGTCTCATGAATTTGTGAACGAATTTAGACAACACGCGATAAGGTCTTCTTCATACTGTTTGTCATCCTGGACTTCTGCCAATAGTCGACGTTCTATTCGACCCATGAATACGTATGGAGCTTCTCAGCTAATGTCTTGTTTATTTTTCATTGCACTTATCCGCACCCGGACCCCTTTTTGCATATGCATATGTAAACGAGGCATGCAGAACAGTGACTATCGGCCTAAATCTATAAGTTGGTTGCCTGCAACCTGATGTGTTCAAATCCCAACCGAATGCATAATATCTACTGATCTGTTTATTGTGTCGTTCGGTGTTGTACCACTAAACACAGTTTCCAATGGCTTTTGGTTATTGACTTCCGGTGACAGGAAGAAGGCCTTCGCAGCGGATTTACTTATTAGAAAATACCAACTGGACAGTTACAAACTATTGGACAGGGAGGCAAAACTCTCATATGCATCTTGTTTATAAAAACTGAATATCCATCTTTGCTTGAACGCGTCTTCTTGCACTCTCCTATATATTCGTTGAATGTTACTTAAATCCAAGCAAATGCTACAAAGCGACTCTACAAATTCCGCACTAGATCTCCATTTTCAAGAGACGCAATGCGAATTTATTAGAAGAAAACATACTACTCACATGCCTCCCCCTCAGTAGTATCATCGTTACACCGGTATACATTTCGCGTGAATTTCCTGCAGCTATAACAATTCTATTGCAAAACGCGGCTCATCAATGGGAATTCTTTTCTTAATAAGGTATACACCTTCCCGGATACCGCTGTTTAAGTTCTCCGAGTATGGCTGCCATTATAGGTAATCCGAAAACTAAGCCAACTGATTGTCAGTACATGGGACTAAGATGGGGGCAGCGTAAACTTGAAAAAATGAGGATTACCAATAACTTCCATAAGTTTTCCACCAATGTTTATTCCCTGATGATGCGGGAACAGGAGACTGATGCTTGTGTCATTCTTTCCACAAATTGGTATGCACGTTCGACAAATACAGTCATTTGCATATAAATTTGGTTTTGACGGGAGACTGATCTGTAATCCAGCTGAATCTGTAGTTCATGTTTTTCCTAAGCAGCTGAATTTGCTACACCAGTCCACCTCATGTTTCAGTTGGTACGATATTCGAGATATCGCTGAATACTATTGGCAGCCCAAGACAAAAGGAAGCATGGTGTAGTGCATTCAGTTGCTTAAGAAAATCATAAACGAGGGATTCAGCTGGTTTTCAAGTGAGCCTCTCTTCAAAAACAAATTGATATGTAACTGAATAAACTTTTTTTCAGCTGGTTTTTTCGGGTTCAAGTAGAACATGAGATTGATGAAAACTCGGAGATTTCGTCTACCTGATGAGCCCCGATAGGAGTGAAACTGGTCGTAGGCTGCCGAAAGGTTTTCAGCACCTCTATAATTTTTGTGTTACGTGTTTCCAAGGCGTGTATCCTATTCACTTTTGTTTTTTACGCGATTATTCTCCACTTATATGGTGTCTTCATGCATGCACTGAATTCCAGCTTGCCAATTATTAGGGCAATGAAGTGAACTATGTTCTTTTCTGTGCAGAATAGTGTCCGCCCTTAGGGGAAGTTCTAAACTATGGATAGTTTTGCGCCTGCTTCCAGGGATTCAAAAAGGCTGAAGGGCCACATAGTTTCAGTCGGCTTGCGCGTTCTTTACATCAGCACAAAAAAAGTGTCGAAACACTTGGTGCAGCATCTCTCAAGCTTCCTTGTGGAAATCCTAACCAGACGGCAACTTCAATCCTAGTGTGCATTGTACGCTATAGCATGGGCAACCACCCATTACACCGATCTCTTACTGTTTTTTTTCCACTCAGAAATGGTCCCACCACCTGGGAATGTTATGGTCACTCTACCTGGAGAAACTCGTGAGCTCCACTGCGAATTCCATCACCTACGCGGTTCACAAGGCGTCCAATGGTTTTTCAACGAACAGCCTTTGGAGCTTCATCCGACCTTGAACATGTCTGGTAATGTCCACCGTATCGACCGAATGCGCGTCAGCATTGTCATTCTACGCGGGGTTGAAAAATCACACGCTGGGGCGTACGAGTGCCGTGTGAATGGTGATATCAGGCAAACCAATGTGATTGTTCGGGGTGAGTGAGTTAATCTTTCAAGCCCTCCGGGATTANGTTGTTGCCAAAAAAAACACTTAAGTGATGTAACTAACGCCATTGTCCTTCAATGTGCTGAGCTTTTCCGAACCCTGCCCACAAATTAACCTCTGGAATGAAATCTCTGTCAATAGCGCACAAAAGCTGTCACACATAAACGAAGAGATATTCTCGGGCCTTTATTTTGGCAACAACATATGCGTAGGTTATCATGGCGAGGGACTGGCAGCAAATCTGAAAGCACTTAAGTGGGACTCGAACTCGAGTCCTCAGAATGGAAGATTACTAACTGTTCGGCTCAGCCACTCAGCCATGTTTGTAGAAGTGCGATATGATGCAGTGAATGTCTGCGCAACAGTTTTACAGTGAACGGTTCCTGTCTAAATTTTGCAGCATAGTTTAGTTTATGGGATTTATAACGGGGAACAAGTGATGAACCAAGGGGTTGATGAACTGCAAACTATCCAGTCGATCAGACAATCTGAGGACGGCGAACAAAGTTTCGAATCTGAGCTTAAACTTTCACAGTTAGGCAAGGAAATATTTCTGACGTGCATAAAAAACGTGCCAACATTCATAACTTGTATTTCTGCTTACTACAATCCACACAACAAACAGATGAAGATGTACTGCAAATCAATCCCTCGAGTGACACAGTGGACGAAGGATTTGGAGTGGAGTTCCACTGTCAATCACACGGATCAGGACGCCCGTCAAACAGAGACATGCTCTGGTTCTTCCGCCCGTTCCGTGGTGGGCCTATGACCCCTCTTGACACGACCAGTCCGACCGGATTTCGTCGCCTAGACGACCCGTACGCCTTACATACAAGTTTTATAAGCAAACAATACGCACGGAAGTCAGATGAGGGTGAATACATATGTCGACTTGGGCCTAACGAAGCTGTAGCCAGGCTTTTTGTTCGTAAGTTCCTCATTTTTGTGTCATTTCTCATCAGTTAAACCCAGGGTGTGTAATTAGTGTGTGTCTGGTCTTGTTTAAACGAAACTAATAACCAGCAAATTGTCCAGCTGCTAACGTCGGATCCACCGGTTACTACTGATTCCTTTTTGCTTCCTGACATCTTTTCGACAGTAATAGAGTTAATCTTTCAAGCCCTCCGGGATTACTTCCCCCCCCCCAAAAAAAAACACTTAAGTGATGTAACTAATGCCATTGTCCTTCAGTGTACTGAGCTATTCCGAACCCTGCCCACAAATTAACCTCTGGAATGAAATCTCTGTCAATAGCGCACAAAAGCTGTCACACATAAACGAAGAGATATTCTCGGGCCTTTATTTTGGCAACAACGTATGCGTAGGTTATCATGGCGAGGGACTGGCAGCAAATCTGAAAGCACTTAAGTGGGACTCGAACTCGAGTCCTCAGAATGGAAGATTACTAACTGTTCGGCTCAGCCACTCAGCCATGTTTGTAGAAGTGCGATATGATGCAGTGAATGTCTGCGCAACAGTTTTACAGTGAACGGTTCCTGTCTAAATTTTGCAGCATAGTTTAGTTTATGGGATTTATAACGGGGAACAAGTGATGAACCAAGGGGTTGATGAACTGCAAACTATCCAGTCGATCAGACAATCTGAGGACGGCGAACAAAGTTTCGAATCTGAGCTTAAACTTTCACAGTTAGGCAAGGAAATATTTCTGACGTGCATAAAAAACGTGCCAACATTCATAACTTGTATTTCTGCTTACTACAATCCACACAACAAACAGATGAAGATGTACTGCAAATCAATCCCTCGAGTGACACAGTGGACGAAGGATTTGGAGTGGAGTTCCACTGTCAATCACACGGATCAGGACGCCCGTCAAACAGAGACATGCTCTGGTTCTTCCGCCCGTTCCGTGGTGGGCCTATGACCCCTCTTGACACGACCAGTCCGACCGGATTTCGTCGCCTAGACGACCCGTACGCCTTACATACAAGTTTTATAAGCAAACAATACGCACGGAAGTCAGATGAGGGTGAATACATATGTCGACTTGGGCCTAACGAAGCTGTAGCCAGGCTTTTTGTTCGTAAGTTCCTCATTTTTGTGTCATTTCTCATCAGTTTAACACAGGGTGTGTAATTAGTGTGTGTCTGGTCTTGTTTAAACGAAACTAATAACCAGCAAATTGTCCAGCTGCTAACGTCGGATCCACCGGTTACTACTGATTCCTTTTTGCTTCCTGACATCTTTTCGACAGTAATATCGGTATAAAAGGCATTCAGCATTCATAAGTATGATTATTCTATTGAAGTTTAAACAANATATATATATATGTATTCGTGAGCCAACTATTTTCACGCCAAAGGATTTCCAGAATAAGCAAACTATTTCTTGAGAAGCAAGAAGCAGTGTGTGATAAAATGCATTTATGGTTTTCCTCAATTGAAAACTCATTCGCAACCAAATTTGGTTTTGTATGGGGCTCATCTCAGACCCAGGTGAATCTCTCGTTTGTGAGGTTTTTAAGCAAGTAAATGTGCTGCGGCAGGCCGCCTCAAGTTTCAGTTGGCACGATATTCGAGATGTCGCGACTGCTTGAAGGATGTTCAAGGAATCGATTGTTTTTGCATGGCTTACCTGGAGAGTCCGGGCAGTCAGTGTACTCAGTGACCTTTATTATCACTCCTGAGATTCCAATATGTCTGCCATATTTAATGAACCCAATACGCCTCCTAAAACCAGTGGATAGATTTATCTCAGATTATATTCACGATTAAAAAGTATTCTTCCAGTGTTGGCAGTACAACGCAATGGATAACTGTGAGCTCAACTCGCGGAGATGGGGCGCATGATCTTCTGGAAGAAATCAGAAATTCATTTATTAGGCAGCGTCTGCAGCAGTCTAGGCGGGAGGTAAATGGTTTTAATCCTGTTCGACGGCTCCGAAGCTCGCCGGGTACCATGAGTACCTAAGTCAATAGTCAAGAAACGACAAACTGCCAGAATATATCAAGCTTTTGCATGCGCTTTAATGTATAAACATTTGATGTATCGTACTGCAGAAATGAATCGCTCCGGGTAAGTATCAGACCGAAGAGCCCCAGATTTAGTGTCACTGCGTTGCACCTAGCCGAAATTAGATTGAAAAACTACTGAATTTAGTGCTTTCGTGAGACGGCGCGTGCTGTTTGCAATGAATTGCGGGAATTCTTCAGAAGCGATCGGAGAACATAGTTGGAAGTATCTTTAAATACACCGAAGGGACAAAAAGTGTTTTCCAACGAAACAGTCACCTTCTTTGAAGCTGAAAAGTACAAGGGCTGTTCACCAATATGTGTGACGTCAAAACAACTATAGCGGGGATCTAATTGAACGAAGCCTGACCGATGAGGCACGCGAGATAATTGTGCTGACCTTAGGACATGGACAAATAAACTACGTCCTGATTTCAGCGAAATACACTCATTCGCAAACAAATTTGGTTTTGAACGGCGGGTCATCTTGAGTCCAGATAAAGCTCTCGTTTATGGTGTTCCTAAGGAGATCGTAAACGATTGATTCAGCTTAGTTCTAGATCAGTTTCTCATCAAACTAAACTGACATGCAAACGAATGTATTTTGCTTATTTTGTGCAATTTGAGTTGAAGTAGAAGATAGCGTTGACGAAAACTCGGGAACTGCGCCTACCTGATGAGCCTCAATAAGAACAAAACCGATCATGGGCTGTAAAAAGAGCCTTCAGCATCCTCACGAGTAGATCGTTAGGTCCGTCCTGATTTCTCGTGGAATCAACAAACGTCACAGTTGGGTGATCCTTGAAGAAGTACTTCCATCCCGGCAGGTTTTCTAGCAAATATTTTGGTCATCGCACATCCCACCCTAAGTGAAATAGGGGTTATTCAATCTCTTGCTGTGGTACACAAATCGAGATCGGGATTTTAAGGGAATGTTGTTCTTTCAGAAGCCTGCATTTGTTCGGCTTCCTACTGTGACATTTTGATAGACTTACACGTATTTAGAATGACCTTGAAGGTGATTGGACGTCATACGCAGTAGGAACAATTTCATTTAGCCTTGTTTTGTGCTGCTTGGCCGTTCACTAAGCACTTCGGATGTCAATTAGTAACATATATCAACATGTCAGCGCTGTGTGCATTCATACATTCCTCGTTGCGCAAGTTAGCTTCAATGGAAATCAGTAGCAGCGCGCATGTCGTGCATTTCGGCTGGGCCGATAAAAACTTGCATCCCTCCGGCTAGCTATTGATTACCAAGCAGTCTGCCTAATCCGTAGAGTGAGCAACTCACAACTAGACAGTTTACAGCGATTCTCATCGTTCAGTCACGGGATTCGCATGCTTTAAGTGATCTCTCTAGTGACGAAGCTTTGGCTTTCATCAATTAACCAGAAGTTACAGGTCCGAATCTCCATGCGATGTTGTGGGAGGCGCTCTTCTGTGATTCCGAACAAGAACGAAACAGATAGACAGTGCTTCTTCTCCAAAGACGAGAGCTCAGTTTGATCTCGCTTATTTTCAAAATCCATCATCTGCTTTGACTACAGTAAGGTCGAAAGACTCGCAGGTTATAACCACAGCGTATCACTATTGGGCACACCATATAAATTATGATACGAAACAATTGATACTACGGTCGATTTAGAGATATAGTTGGTCAGTAAAATCAGTTGATAAAATAAATATACAATTGTGTGAAACAATGTCAGTTCGGCACTGACACATCGCTGTAGGGCCAGTGCGACTACAGAGAGTTCGTCGCAGTTGAATAGAAGTCATCTTGACCTCTTCAAATGTATTTGTTGTAACAAACCGCTGCAGTCGTTAGAGTCGGAAAATGACCCGCTTACAAGGAAGGTCTATGGCGAACAAATGAGTGCAAACATTACGAGAGGCATCGCGATATGTAAAGCGTACTGTTGACCTTGATCCGGGCTGTCCTATCGGCTTTGGGTGAACACAAGTTATCGTCCGTCGTGCTTTTATGAAATGCCTGAACACTCACCATCCTCTCCCATCGCTGAATTGACTGACTACTTGAGCATTCAGTCGGAAACAGACCTTTCTATGCCAGATGCTTGAAGCATTACCTGCCGTGATTTGGTGGGGTGTGAGGGTCTCTTTAGGTTTGAGGAATTCTGGTAGTTTCTTCAGAAATCTCACCTTCTTGACAGCAGTCTTGCAGCAGTTTGGTACTCCATATGGTTCGTGGAACATTAGCAAGCAAAAACATGTAGACAGGCAGACTATCGTCTTTCCCACGAATGAGTTTATGACTAATTGGGTCTCCTTATTCTGATTCGCAACACGTGACCTCTTGCTTCCGTACATCTGGGCACACATTGTGGATACTGCTGAATAAGTGAATTTCAAAGGTTGCTGAACGCAAAATTGGTCAACATTTTAGAGGGAAACAGGTTGTATGTGCAGCCAGGTTCTCAGATTCTGGACATTCATCTTCGGTAGATGAAAGCCCATTAACCAGCGACATTTCGGCATGATTCCATTGTGCCCGAAAAGCAGAATGCTGATAATATGGAACCATCACGTGACAGGGTTCCTGGTAGTTTTTCATTGAAGCAGACTTAACGTAGACAGATTTACGTTCGATAATCCCTTTCTAGAACTCTGTTGCAGTTTCATTGAATTCGCCCATGCCTACTCAATGGTTTTGTTGGTAACCTAAGAGCTTGTTCTCCAGAAAAGTGATTGAGGTTTATGGTACATCTAGCTTATTTTGTAGAAACAAAAGACTGAAGCCCACCTCCTCGAAGCTAACACAAGCAGCTGAAGCATATAGAAGGCAGTTTCTGAATGAGCACAGCTGAATTCGAGCGCCTGAATCAAACTACACAAGTTTCACTGTTTTTGCCCTGTTGATGGGCGTCCCCTTGATATATGTTCTGGATTTCAACCTGTTTAGCGACCGTATATATAAGAAACCTGTTGGTGAACAACCCCGAAAATTTCTCCTTGATTCTGACCCACTTTGGGAGCCAGTACTTTCTGTCTCAAACGAATTAGATGAACTGATCCCGTTTGGTGTTCAGCCCAACTGAGATGATATCCAAAATCCCGTATTTGATGACAGTCACACCATCTGTGCTTCATATCCGTACTCATAGACTTCCTGTCTCTCAATTCCACCACAGGTCAAATAGCTAATTACGACGTATTCATTACTCCACCAATCATACGCGTGCGTGCCTATCAACCAATCCAAATCGAGTGTTATACCCAGGAGACCAGTGGACGACCGTCGAATGTTGTGCCTAAACACCGCATTGATCGTCCAGTTGTTGGATTCATTCCCACTCCGATTGGGGAAAATCGACTTCAGATATCTCATCCGACTGGTCTTGGGGCAGAGTACAATGGCACCCGAGTGGAATGTTACACCGAAGTGAGCTATGCGCTTATAATCTCTTTACCATTTTTATGTGAATACTGTTTGAGATGTCCGTTCTGGGTTCATATGTCCTCATTCTTTGGCAGTACAGTAAACACAAGACAATCTCCCTATACGGAAAGCTGATTTCTAGACATGGGAACAATCTTGGTTAACTTACCCTGCTACCCTGAACATGCATGAAGTACACTGAGTCAGGCCTAATCCCCAGATAGGTTTCGACAAATACACCCATTTGCAACTCAATTCGGTTTTCATGGGAGACAAAACTGACTCCCTCGTTTGTGATATTATTTAACTAAAGAAGAGTTTTCGGCAACCTTGTGAATAGTTTCCTGCAGGTAAATCTTTCCAAATTACTTCAAGATCACTTCATGATGATGATCATCATTATGGACAGCATGACATCAGTGTTCAAAACTGATGCTTCGTTGCCATAAAATTTTCTTCAATTTTATGGAGAATATATGCCATGTTGCGCTTTTGAGCGGACCGATCGAAAAATTACAGCTGTGGAAACCTTGTACTTGGCTCCCGAGTGTAGGGAACAATCAACGTACGAACATAGTGGGACTGAGTCCTTCCATGTTCTTTTGTCAGTTGCAAACGGATAAAAATGACAGTAAAATAACGGACTAACCGCTCCAAGATGGTTTAGCCTTCTTTTATCGTTACTCTTTGTTTGTAAGCAAAGGAGAAACGCGAAAAGTGCTTTTTCTGTCCCATCCAACCATGATTGTCGAATTTTTGGCTTTTTCATGCAATCAGTAGCTTGTCAATTGCGCAGTCTTTCACACATGTTTAAAACATCAAGGAGGGCTGACAATTTTAACTCGTGTCGTTCAATGAATGGTTTACCGGTTTCGTCCTACCAAACACCTTATTGATCGACAAAATAATCAGCGGCTTTCGCCAAAGAACACCTTCTTCGTCTGCATCCCCATCCCTTCGTTTGAGGTGAAGGAATAGTCTGCCCAATGAAGTAAAGATTGTGCTTAAATGTCGAAATCCCTCTGTGTGTCCCGAAGATAATACCGTTACCAGAATAGTCTTGTTGTACAAACATTCTGAAGCTCTCCAGAACAAAAACAGCTCAACCCCACAACTCACTTGCAAAATTTTCACGGACGTTTCTCGTGGTCGACCGGAATGGCATGAATATTAACTTTTTGAAAAAAGTGACCAAAATTCACCATTACTTCCAGCGCAGTCATAGGAGGGAGGTTTGTGAAGAGGTAGATAGATGATGTAGTCCAGATTCATCAGAATTCACAACGGTGTTTTGCCAAGCTTGTTTTCACTGAGGGCTTGGATCAAAGAACATTGGAAGCATACTACCATTCTCGTCAGGTTTGGAAAGTTTTTGCTAAGCAGCGCGCAACTATCTAAAATGCACCATTTCATACTTGCTGCGGAGTGGTTTCTCAAGAACTAGAAACAGTAGAAGAGACGCATCGAGAGTTAGATCAGCTGACGGAAGGCGAGGACTTACTGACCAGAAACTTAATGTTTAATATCGACTGCTTCTGTCTTGGCTTTGGCACCCTCAGCCCTCCTACTGCCCTTGAGTGACATGGCAGTTGGCCTGAGCAAGGCCAGCACAGTTTGTTCGATCCCCACACCTTGTCTTGATAGAAATTGTACTGCTCCGGAGTGTGACGGGTCGTCTGTATGTCCAGTCAAGAACCAGGGAACCTTAAGGACCGCCTTCATGAGACAACATGTGCAAAATGCTACAACAGAAAAGTATCAGAATTCGAATATTTTGAATAATCTTGGGTACCGTCAGTATGAATAGATTGTTTCGTTAGAGGGATACTAGGGTGGGCTCTGCCAACCAACACAGCTAAATATCATGCATTTATCGGCAGGGATACAAGGCAAGAATTACCTTCACGGGGAGAGCCCAATTGAAAATCGCTGCAGAAGCAAATAGGCGGGATGGAACCTTAAGGAAGTCATGCGGGGATGTTCACATTGGGTGCAGCCAGTTTGGTGTGCTCACTGTTTGCTGGCTCAAAAATGGCTGATGTGCGGAGTGTCACGGCCGTTCACAGGGAGTAAAAACTCCTCACAGGGTTACGGTTTTGTGTGGAAACAAACGTGACATGAAAAAGTATTGACATGCTACTCTGGAGAGTCTTTTGAATGACTCTCCCGGGCATAGCCGAGTTCCTAACCTCAACTAGGTGAATTATTACTTTGAAGGTTAAAGAGATGGTAAACCTCTGTTTTCTCAAGAATTGCTGTGCAACTACCCTTTGAATGGTGACCGCTAAGGCCCCAACATGATCCTGGAGGTGAATTAGCGCGCAATGTGACATTGGATAGTAAACTAAAGTAAGTCATGATGTTCTTCAAGTCAAATAAGCTTGCTACCAAAATAAATTATGGACACAGTCGTACCAGACTTATCGATAACTTCAAAAGCAAGTGTCAGTAAGTGAACCACCGCAACCCCTTCATGAGAAATGTTGAAAATATGGTTCCAATCGTTGATGCTTTTAGGATTTGTAGGATTCACATACCATCAACAAAATTAGGACAGCTGCTGCGTCGTTACTGAGCCATCAAGCAACCCTGTCACGTCCCATGGAAATCAACTTTTCCTCTGTTACAAAATAAGAATTCAGGTGTTTCCAGTGTGCGCCAGTGGAATACTGGTAGCAAGCTCAGATGTCCAGTAGTTCAAGTTCCAGCATGACAAAGGGTGTGAACTGACAGTAACAGCGAAACTCGCGTCCGACGTTCTTCCCCGTGTTTAAACTCACCAGAATACTTGCGCCAGGACAAGAGGTGGACTGTTCAAACGAGAGTGACGTAAATCTGAATTATGGTCTTAACGGATGCCAAGAAAAGATGCTCTGTTTCCGACCCTACACAGTGGTAGTTCCACGCATATCATTCGTTCTGTTGCTCCTCACGGAAAAACGCTTGTGGCTAAATGATTTATCCTCAGGTTTCTGGCTGGGAGTTGGGAGCTACGGCTTCTGTGAAGATTCGTAGGATGACTTCCAATAAATGGGTTTTTTCGGTATAGCTTAGATCAACATTGGGGCAGTTAAATTGCAACAGATAAGGAAAGCCGGATATTTGAACAACACAATGAACACTCATCATTCACTCAATTGATGATAAAAGTGGTTGAATTGACCAGTAGGTGGTTGATTATAACAGTGCCGTCCCACAGGAGAGTGCTACCGAAAAGCGCGAGCACACCTGCTAGGTTACTGTTCAGTTTGTGGAAGGAGAGATAGTCGAACTCTCCGAAGTGATGCCCCCATCAAGTCGAGTGGAGAAGTATTCGTCACGCATCTTTATACCATCTTACACGCAAAATTACTTTTACGCGTGTTTATATGGGATAGTGGCAACGACTCTCCAATCATTACCATGTGACGTTGCCATGATAAATGTAACCTACGCCACAATTATTGCGCATATTAGGCACAATCCTGTCGAAATAAGATATCGAAAAGGAGTTCGCATTCACTTCTTGAGAGGAATCAACTTCATCATTGCTGAAAGCCCTCTGATCAGTCTAAAGACCCAGCGAAGAAACTAAAGGGGAACCGGACCCTCGCGCAAGAGCGGAAGTAACCGCAGATAACCAACTTATCAAAAGCGTAGGCCAGAAGCATTACTCTTTTTATTTGTTTAACCCCGCGTGTTCTATCTCGTTCACCAAGATATTGTGCAAATATCTCCAAATTTACTTAAGAAACATATGGATAGTTTGCGTTAGAATGTTCGCACCATATCCCGTACCAATAAGGTCACATATTTTGTACTTTTGTGTCGAAAACAAGTCGGAATCCAGAAAACTGTATCATCTTATCAACACCTGAGATCCCCAACCATGCACACACTGCCGAGACGAATTCATGCGGTTTTATCAGTATTTTCTAACGCACAGTGTTCAAAGTAGACAACAGCATTTCGAATATCCCATTAACTCAAGTGGTCAGATTAATTGCGTATAAAAGATCTGCTGTGGGGATTGCAGTGCTGCCCACATAGACGAGCAGATAGTCAAGAGTTTCTGTTGTGGAACACAAAATGGATGCGCAATTCCCATCCAAAAATCCCTCGCTTTGGAGTAAAACCACGATTTTCTTACTTGAACGGACTCATCCTATTCTCACATATCTAACAAAGTGCGCAAAACTGTACTGAGCGAAAGTCTCGGTAGTTCACACAAGCTGTCCGCGTCATTCGAAACAGTGGTTAGTCAACATCCGCCATGTGGTTAGGACCCGTAATTAACAGCCGACAGAGTGTCTGACCTCAGTCCCAACCCATACACATGGTATGGTCACATCTTGATCAACTGTGTAGTCCCACATCAACGGTGATTTGCTCCTGACGTGCGGCACTCCTGATGACCGAAATGTTAGGTTATAGGAAAAATGCATTTATTCTTGTTTTTCCACTACTAATCAGCGCAAAATTATGAACGCAAGACGCTTGGTTCTCCTGCTGTCACACATTCCCCACGGTGACGACATATTGTCTGGTTTCCAGATAATCAAACGGTTAATATCCCACTAAAGGTCCTTTAAAGCCAGTCGGATCTCAAACTAGATTCATCGGAAAATTTCAGCGGATAACCGCTTCAAGCGTGAAGCCTTGGGTGAAAGTGCTCTCAATAAGAGCACAAAATTGAAAGGTTTTCGCGAGATGGTGGATGTTGCCACGTGTGTCCACTTTCCCAGGATCATACACTGCCCGCTCTGAACCAGTTTTAGATAAATGCATCTCACCGTACGAATAACTAAGGCTTTCATCTGTGTTTCAATTTCCAGCATCCCGGTAAACCAGCAAGTGCGATCATCGTGATTGAATCAGCATGTCCTCAGGGCTATCGTCGCTGCCGATCCGGTCAGTGCATTCCAGCTGGACGATTCTGCGATGGACAGTATGACTGTATCGATCAGTCAGACGAAGATCCTTTGTACTGCAGTAAGTCCTTCGACGCATGGAGTGGTGCCCGATATAGCGTGAGCAATACTGTTGTCTTTTTGAAGGATGCAATTCCTCAAGACGAGTGATTATAAGCCTACTCACTTCCACTGGGACAAGTTGGCACCAGTGAGTCCTCGGTGAGCCGGGGAGGAAGCGCGGCTATGCGATATTGGCCGAAAATATCATATTCCGATTTATCTTGTAGTAACAACTGTCCAATCAAACTAAAAAGTAGAAGAGTAGGGCTTGACAAGGAGGAAATTAATGAAAGCATGCAAGAGCTGTTTTCCATTTGTGTCTGCTTTCTATAATGTCCATGGCTTGTGATCCGTAAGCTGAACATGAAACCTTCAATTCTGCTTTACCCCTAATTACGAACAAATTTATTTTCCTATTCACTTTAAAGTGAAAGCAGATTAAAAATTGGCGTGATCTAGAACACTACTCATAGAGTTGCTGAAAAATAATTGGGCAGTCCACGATTGATTTCTCTCTTCTTCTGGAGATCCACATTTTGACAGCTCTGGTGCGCGTACTGGTGACTGAACAGATTATCCTTGATTTTCTCACCATACGTGTCAGTTAGATGACAAACTCTTCGCCACTAATCGGTAAGATGTCTTTAGTGCAACTCTTCGTGGTTTGTCTGAAACTGGTGGTATGTTTGTATATATATATTATAAAAACATACAAATATGTGTAAATATCGTGACAGAGCTTGTGGTCATCACAACGGACACCACTGGGTGGAACACACTGCCTTCAGAACAAGCCAGTTCCGGGGATTTTGGTTGGCCGTGCATCTGCTTGTCGAGTCTCACGACCACCTTACAAATGCAACCTCCATCACCGTGCAATTCGGTTGCCACACTCGGCGAACAGATCGATATGCAGCTGAAGGACAATCAGAAGACATACGAAGTATTATTATATGCACTGACACTAAAGTCAATGCTGTAGCTGTGTCCTCTGAAGTAAACTGGACCTCAATGCAACATGACGGATTGTGTACCTCTATGATCCACTGAGCCACACCTGGGGATTTTACTTTGACACCCAAAGAGTTTATCATATCAGGTTGCTTAACAGGTTTGATCAATCCAATATCTTGGTTCTCCAGGTTGCGAGTTGAAAAAGATTCATCGACATGATGCTTAAAAAGCTTGTGCTTTTTGTAGTAGTGGTAATGGTATGCCGGCGCCCCCTCAGTGCCGTCCGATCGGGCTTTTGAATTAAAGGCTCTGAATGAGGACCCTAGTCGTACCCCTTTCTAGACCTGAGCGCCTTAACAGATCCCAGTACAAGTACAACCATGATTCCTACAACTACCAATGCTGTCATGCCACACCGGCCGTCGAACAGTGTCACCAGCCGGGTCACTTTACTTGCTGCATGTGGCAGGGTGGGTATGTAATGACATGGTTCCGCTGACGCCACTTTTTGTTTCAGATGCTTTTTCTTCCCCACCTCAGAAACCTACAAATAACTCACTCCTTTTAGGCTTATCGCTTGTGGCTGACGGCCCTGCCCATTTCGCATTGACCTTGGCAGCAACGTGCGCATGTCACCTAGCCTCGACACTCCCAGGCATTTCCAAGCTCGGTATATCTGGCTGCTTTTAAAGCTGGTACGCTGGAAATGCAGGAAAACAAGCTGCTCTTGCACTCACAGTTTACCCACTTGACATCAATAGGTGCTGTGAAATCAGAAACAAAAGAAATAGGATGCAAGCTAAATCGCCGCATTACTCTATATTCGTTTCCGGCTGCACAGCCGGGGACGTTCATGAACGTGTTTAACAGGCGGAAAGTTGGTTGTTTCATGTTTGCCATGTCTGCTTTCGTCCCAAAGAACGTAGCTCTGACACAACCGAAAAGAAGTTTTATTCTGTCTTGATTGACCCGTTGCAGTGAACTGGAAACCCATGGATCCTTTTGTTGCCAAAGATTTAAATGCACATTTAGGGAGAATTAGAAGCTGCGACTCAATTAGATGGTTGACTTGGATTGGACTCGGTGCGTACAGGAAACTGCTCAAGATATATGCTGACAATAGGCTGTTTTAATGCAATGCTAGCTTCCGAAATATCCACATGGTGTTCTTCAGCGGTGCGCCAGCTGCGAACTTAAGTAGACTACATCTACTGATGTTGCCACTCGTTTTCGAACGTATTTGTGGATTCCGACCATTCACTCGTCCGTAGTCGCTTCTCTCTTCGTTTTATAGGGCCGCGTAAGGTGTAGACAAATCACATGGGCAGTTGAGAGATCCAAAGATCCTGATTCTAAACGATTTTACCAGAATCGGTTTATAAAATCTTTAACTGTTTCAATGCCGGGTGTGAATCAATACTGGGTCGAGATTGCCACCTCTTTGCACAGTTCCGGGAGAATTGCCCGGGGAAGGGCGCTACTAGGTTCACTCGATCACTGGATAACAGAGCAAACAATGACATGCCTTAAATGTCCCTGCCGGTCCGAAACATAACTTGAGCCGACAAATTATTAGACGTCAAGTGAAAATGAGCGCTTTCGTTGACCGTGAAACCTGGTGGACAAGGAAATGGAGGACGTCCATAAAGCCGGGTAGGTCCGGCAAGCGAGCGGTCCTCGAAAAGCATCTGTGGACGAAACCATGGAGGATCGGAAAAGAGCAACCACTCTAACTAAACAAACACGCCTTGATTGTTGGGCCGAATACTTTGAGCAATCGGGGCTAACAGCTACTGCTCATCTGAAACCCATAACTGACGTAGAATCCTGGACGGCGGTCGTGTAACCCCCTTAGGCCTCCGAGGTTTACGATTGCATTTGTCCCGTTAAGTGCCACCAAACTCCTTATCGGGATGACCTCCAACCCGCTCAGTCAGCGCTTGTCTGATCTACTTACGTGCATTAGGGAAAAGGAGGCTGTCCCAGACAGACGGATCGTAGAGATTGTGGTGACCACAGGAGGGATCAGCTTAACCCCGGTCATTTCGAGACTGTTGGCGTCGCTTTTGATACGCGGCTTTATGGTGGCTCGTGATACACTGACTCGAGTGCGCCAAACGGGATCCCAGCCTGGTAGGGGTTGAGTTGACCAAAACTTGACACCTTCACATTCTAGAACAACACCATACGATCCACAATTTCGGTATTCCTAAATTTCCAAGCCGCATTCGACTTGGTTGACCGATCCGATCTCCTTTGCACGCTTTCCGAGCAAGGAATGCCTCGGAAGTTTGTGAACGTGATAAGTTCTTTGTATCCCCACACTTCCGGGGATGTGTGAGTACATAAAAAATTTTCGAAATCTTCCGTACACAAACTGGTGTCCGTCAGGTGTACTCACGTCTTCTAATCTTACTTAATTTTCTGACCAACGACATAATGAGACGGACCCTAAGGTTCTCCAAAACCATAGTGTTCAAATAGCTGCTGACGAAAACCTTGTCGGTGTGGAATATACGGAGGAAATTTTCATCGCTTCTGGACAGGCAATATCTTATAGTCCAAGAAGAAGCAGCCAAAATTTCGAAGCGTTCTTCATTCTTTGGAAGTCGTATCATTTCCAACTGTATTATGACATTCGTGCATTTACCTCATGCACGAATCTGTTGAGCTCAGGTTCAATTCACTAATCTGAGACCATGACAGAAGCGGTGCATATTCCTGGATCTCAAAGGACGTGTGTGTCAGGCTAGAGCACGAGCTGTTTTTTGTATGACTATGAGACGGGGCCCCCGACAGAAATAGAACTGAGATATCTCCAGCCCTTGAAAGGCCGTTGTCTCTATCATAGCTGCTCTAGGCTATTCAGGGTGTCAGTAAATCCACAAAGATACAAGTTGAAAGTAATTGTTCGGTTGTGCAATGGGGACTTCAGTCGAAGGTGTAAAGTACTAAGAAATTGCGGTGGTTAGGCCATGCACCGAAGAGGGTGCTGTTTTTCGTGCCCGATTCCAATTGGCGCAAATCAAGAGGTGATCAACCTTTGACCTGACAAAGCAGATGGAGTCGGTTAGATTGTGTCCGGGTTCAGTCGCCTCGGCTCGCCTTTTTATGATGGGAACCGCGTGATCCACGCTGTGTATGGCTGGAAAAGCCGCAAGACATGGCTCCCAATCGATGTCGGTGGCGTTTCTGTTCTCAGTTTGTATCTAAGGTGTCCAAGTGATTGTCTGCAAATGTAGGAACCCCGTATTGCTTCGGGTTGGCTGGCACTCCCTTCCCTATCTAATTTCATTTTTTTCTTCAGATAAGGCAGAAAAGCACCGGTGGCTGAACGCTGATATGAGGTTGTCGACAATGATACTAATATGGGGCGAGACGGCCGAAGCGGTTAGAGCGCGAATTTACTGACCGGAAGGTCCGCGGTTCGAACCCGACCTCTGCCTCTCGACTTCCCCTGTCTAGGCTTGGGCAACCTGGCAGTATCCCAGTCCTCGTTCAACCTTCGGGTAGCGTTGCAGTTGGGCACCGAAAGGGCGCTGCAGCTGAACGAACGGGAGACCGAAAAGCGTTGATAGGCGAGCATATATCAGCTTTCCTCTGGGGTAGTTCATTGATATATTCACACCGGCATCAGAGAAACAGCTGACATATCTGGATAATGGGACAACAGACCGAACCACTCTTAAGACGTCTGACCAATAGCCTCACCGATCATACCGGATGTGTAAACATAACCATTACATTACCCGCCTAAATAAAATGTCAACTGGGTAGTGAATAAATTTCGGTGCGAAACATTTCGCCGGCACCCGCGCCAGTCCGATTGTTTTGACCTGCGCCATGAGTACCAATGGATTAGGTAGAAATTTCACTGTTTTGTCTGGTGTGCCGATAGACCGAAATGGAAAACAAGGTTCGCATCCGACTGCAGCTCTATTCTGTTGCCCAATGGAAGCAACCTAATGTCCGTCTACCGGACACAGGTCTTTCTGTCTGCTACGTTGCTACCAGGCAGATGTTTGCACTCTGCCGGCCAAAAAAAGCCCGGTAAGTTTCGCCAGTAGGTATTTTGTTTACACGTAACCAGAATTTCTTCAGGGCCTAGTGTTTGCGACGGATCAGTGCAACAAGCAAGATTTATGAATGTGGACACAAGGGATTTGTGGGCACTTTGGCAACCATAACAGATGTTGAGGACCGAGAATGGCAAACACTGTTGTGAATGTAAAGTTCAACGTTGTGTGAGGACAATACGAACGAAACCACACAAACCTGGAACCAGTGATCTCCAGGCAAAAACTGCTTTCTGAGTTAACAAGGACACTGGCCTTTAGTTGAAAACAACGTTATTGATGATCATTTTGAATGTGAGTGCCGTGGAGTTACCCGAATCACCTTAGTAAAGCGAGTAAATATCGAATAGCACACCTGGGATTGTATCGAAATGAAAAACGCCTGTAGATAAAAAGCTTCCAACAAAATTCTATGAGCGCGAAACCACATTGACCGACGACATTTACAAAACAAGAAAGAACATTTTCATAGAGGGAACTAATCACAAGTTTGCTGAAAACCCTTCGACAGCCCACGACCGGTTTCGCCCTTCTTGGGGCTCAGCAGGTAGGCGCAGTCGCAGATTTTCCGTAACTTGAACCCAAATTGGGCTGTTTTCGAGAAACAGACTCATTTTCAAATCAATTTGGTCCTCACGAGAGACCTTGTGAGTAGTTTCCTTTATGAAAATACACTGCGATATCTTGAATATCGTGCCAATTGAATCCTGAGGCGGTGTGTGTGCAGCACATTCAGTTGTAGAATATTATAAACGAGAGATTCAGTTGAGTCTCTCGTGATTTGCAAATGAGGAAAGAACATTATTTCAAAATAGTTCCGTACAAATTCCTTAACCCACTAAGTGATTATCAGTAAAGGTGAAGACATCGTAACACACTACACGAATCCAATATTTGTTTAAGATTCTTAATTCATACTGAGCTACTTGAGGCAGCGTGAAGCAACAGAAAATATATCGTCCAGGTACGCGGCTGGATGGCATTGTATCCTCAGATTTTCTGAAAACATCTGATCCAACCGTTTCGGCAGTACCTATTGTCAAACTAGTGTTCAAGGTGGAAAAAACTACATTACGTTCAGTTAACCAGTCCACACTTCAATGAAAACAAATTCTCGTCCTTAAAACTGAACATTTCTCAACCTCATTAGATCTTAAACCATGCAGTTTGATCACCTACAAAAAAAATACATACCCATCCAGACTGTTCACGTCAATATGTACACTTATTTCCGACTACAGAGGCCTGCGATCCTATTTCCAAACCATGTGAAGAGTACAATGGCCGTGCACCTCACAAGAAACACTACATGATCCATTGGGAGTGTGATGGTGAAGATGATTGTGGCAATGGGTTTGACGAATCTCGATGCCCAGGTACGTTTTTGTGTGAATTCTTGTCCAGTATTCGCTTGACAACGTATGGCAACGAAGCATCGGTGTCATGCATCACGGATGTCATGCTGTCGATGACGATGACAACATTCAAAAATACACAGTAGGAAAGCTAACAAGTGCAACCAAAGTGTGTTTCTTCTTCGAGTTCGGTGCGGCAATGCACAATTGCAGTCTATCGGTTTGCACTCTTTCAAAAGCCAGCAATTGTGGGTGTAGGTGACCTTTTCGGGTGGCATTTTCGGAATCGTGAACCTTAAGATCAGCTGGGAACATCTTTAGCACACTTTCCAGACAGATTTATTCGGATTAGCTCGTTGAATCAAAAAAAACCTTGCTCCTGAAGATACCAGGCTAATGCGAACGAATGGTTTACCTCATTGGTGGCATTTACGAGGTTAGCTGTGGTCTGTTATAAATAGGCGGATAACACTGTGGTTCAAGCCTGTGTGCTTTGGCTCGGTGATTATTTGTAATGAAAACAAACATCAAAGTGGTTGTGCAGAGGAATAACGCAAGCATAAAGCAATTAAAAGTGGGTTGTGTCAAACTGCACTCAGTGTCTGACAGAACTTATTGGATCAATATCTTACCCCGGTATACCCTGCTAGCCCAGGTATTCAAGCTTTCGAACCAACCATAGTCCACTACATTCTAATCATTTAGCTTATGATGATCGAAAGCGGGACCCTGTGGAGACTAGAGTGTACCGTGGTGTGACGGTTTGTGTACTCCCGACCCACTGAGCTATACCAGGGGGTCTTCATACGACACTTACAGTGCACTTGGTCAATGGTCAGTGACGAACACAGTCTTCTGGTCCTCCACGTTGTGGCGACTTGTTCCGTAAAATTGGCAATATGTTTGCATTTCCCGTCAACACACCGCTGCCTTGCGGTCAGCCCTTGGATAAAAAAAGGCCATAATCGACCTTCTATCTACGTGTGGTCACCCTGACAGTATCTAGACCACATACAACCGTCAATATATGGCGGCGAAGCCTCGGTGTAGAAGACTGATGTGCTGTCAATGACGGTGATCATGAATATAATCAGGTCCCTTTTCAAAGGTTGTTTATGATGCGGATAGATGTTTCTTATCTTAATCCACAAGGAGGAGATAAAACTTTCAGTTTCGCTCTTCTCCTTGTTACATTAGGACAGGTATTGTAGTTTTATTTTTGCTGATATGAATCATACCACACAGGTTTCCGGATTGTGATCACGTGAACATCTTCCCCGTTGGGACTTCCCGCTCCAACTGTCTGTCAAGGGTTTACCACGTGACGTGAACTTCATAGTTGAAGATGTGGCAACTTATCTGTTCACGTGGTAGGTAGTCACACAAATAACCGACCCTCCAGGATTGAATGAATTCGTACTGTTGTTGATTGTCAACTTGGTTGAAACAAATGGGAGCTGGTTCTCGGTCTTCCAGTATAGGTTACATAAACCCAAAGGAACACAGCAATCCGTCTCCACTGAGAAAGCTCACCCATTCATACGGATGACCCACAGATTCATTGGCCTTTTTAAATTTAGAAAACAACTATATTTCATGTATCTTGAAAGGTAAATATGTCCAACGTAATCAAGTTTTGTCTATCACATATCAACAGACAAAGCGGTCGCGCGTTGCGACGGCAGCACGTTTACATGCGATCGGGGAAGTCGAAGAATCCCGTTGGCATACGTCTGCGATAAGGAAAGAGATTGTGTTTCCGGTGAGGATGAAAACAACTGTGGTAAGTCAAATGATCAACTGAAACACAGCTCAGTAGGCAGTCATTATTTTGCACTTCTGACTGACTTCAGTAATCTTAGATGAAAAACATGCGTGATCTGACAACCATATGTCACAAGTGTGCCTTAAATTCGTATTTTCATAGACTTTGGATTTTTACACTGTCCGGTGAGTGCCGACGTGAGAAGTTAGTTACAGAATGCGAGACCCTGTGGAAGGTGTTACCTGTGCGTCTACCTTGAATTTACGAGCGCGTTTTAGGCTGGCATTAGGAGCGACGCAGACAAGCTCAATTCAACCAATCAAAACCGAAGCTTGAAAACTACTCCAGTAAAATGTTTAACTGTACTTCGATCGGACTAAAAGTAGCCGCCGTTGGTGGCCGCTTACTTTGAAGACGCAGCCGTAAGTAGTTATAAATTTTAAAATAATGAACTCCAGGAAGCTGTTGTTCTATTGATTTTGAAGGTAGCGCAGGGAACACGGCAACCCATGCTTTTAGACCGTCCTCACAAGGGAACCGGTAACGTGTCTTCAGAATTCGATGAAGATAAACGTTGCACTCGAAACCTTATTTGAGGTAAATGTTTGAGGCAAAAGCACTCGTCTTTTCAAGAACTGCCAGACATTTGACGGAGATGTACTGATGACCACAAATTGGTGACTTGCTCACATGTTTACGCAAAATGATGGTCGGAATATTCATATGTATATGCGTCGATGTATGCCATAGAATTCATCAGTGTCAACGACGTCGTTCACTCGTGAGACACTAATTTTCTTGTTTGTTTGTACTACCAATGGGACATCGGAAATATATTAAATTTCCACAAGACACGAGAGTAACGAACGACTATTTTTCTGGGATGTCTTCGTCCGATCAATACATATATGAAAGGAAAAATGGGGACGAATAATGAAATAAGCTTATAAGACTGTTTATTTAAAAGTTAGAAAACGTGGGTACATTGTTGTGGGTGGCACCTGGCGTTGAGTGTATATTTTTGCTGCTTAATCTCACACCAGGCCCAGTATGACGTAGACCTTTTTCCTGGTGTGCGAATCTTGATTGTGCCAGCGCTTACCGCGCCTGGGACAGCATTCAACATTGTTTGTCCTTTCTTCGGTTGTTGATCTTTAGACGCGTGTTTCCATGCCAAAATTTTTACATACGTTGGGATTCATCTCATCTGACTGAAATTGTTATTGGCATGAGCGAGAAGTTTCTTTCTTTTATCTCACAGTCTCCTGTTACCCTTTCGCATTCGTCGCTTCCATCCACTTTTTATGTTTGCGACCATGCTCTCCGAAAGTAAATGTCAGTAGTCTTCTATACTGGTAGGTGGGAAGTTTTTAGTCTGAGCGACTTGGTCGAACTGTGCCTGTCACATGATTAAAGCAGACTTGAGGTTGCCGGAAATCAAAATCATCTGCTGCGCCGGCTGTGGGCGAGCCCCTTCATTGGATCGATACTTGAAACCTACAGATACTATGTTGATATCACGCACCCAACGATTTGATCACGTGACCGTCGTCGATAGTATTTGAAATAGTGTGGCTTTTGACGGTCCAGCCGAATCTGCTGGTGGGAGAGACTCTGACATGTTTTCTCAGCAAATCATCGTGTCCAGTGGCCAATATAGCCCAACGAGCAACAACAGAAGCAATACGTAAAGATGTTCTAGGTGAGAGCTGGTATCTTATCTTGGAGATTTAAGTCGAACACGATGTTGTTTATGAACAGACAACAAAGCGGCACCTGGGACAACATATTCTCAGGGCTAAAAATTTGGCACGTGAACCTATGTGCTTTAGGTGTCCTGTTTTAACTGCAAGAAATTTCACCATGTGCACCCTTGTGGAGGAAATGAAAAAGGATAACAAACATATGGGAGTGACATTGGCGGTGGTCTCCACCCATCTTAGCCGAAGTGCTTTGTATAGCTTGGATAAAGTAAAATATGATATCGCATTCACATGGATCTCATTTGATCAGTACCAATTCTGTTCTAGGGCATTTGTGCGGACAGGTTCAAGCCCGAATTCTGCTCTCATTATGCCTCATAAACATCGTGTCGAGACTTAAACTCCGAACTCCTGACACAGGGGGCAAACATGTAACTATTACTTCACCAGCACATATTATATGCCCCTTTCTGAGAAGTGCCGACAGGTGGATCAGTTTATCAACATAACCAGGACACCAGATCGTCGTTAGAAACGTTGAACGAATCAGTTATATCAATCTGGTCTGATCACCCAACCATTCAGATGCGTCCAGTGTACGCCAGAGGCGTTGTGGTAACATATCCACCTCATATGCCAGGTGGCATGTTAGACAGGAAGAGCGAAATTCGTCTTCCTATCTGGCATAAGCTAGGGAAGGAGGAGAACTGTCGGACTATCTGTGATGTGAAGGTAAATAACTCGTCCTAATTTATTGGGCTTCATGTCCATTATGCCGACCGAGGCCCGATAAATTTGACAAAAACATGTTCTTCGTCCAATGAATGGAAAACCTCAAAACACGCAACTAGTTTCAGTTTCCGGAGTTCCAATTAAGCTTTTTTCAGTAAACATTGTGGTATGAATAGTAGTTGTTCCTCCCTTTGTGCTTTACAATCTTCGAAACATTTCTCATTCACAGCAACACCAGTTATACAAAGCTCACCAACATACCGCTATACAACACGTCCTGGTAGACAAGTGATACTTCAGTGCCGGGTGATTGGAAGGCCGATTCCTCGAGTAATTTGGCGCTTCAACTGGGGATGCCTGCCGGACGAAGGTGGTCGATTCCGAGTTAACAGCGTGGTGGAAAACTGCGATTCGCCTATGCCGACCGTGATTAGTACTCTGACAATTACGGGGGTCCAAAACGGAGATGACGGTATCTATAACTGTGAAGCATTGGCTGGAGCGACTCGCGCGATGTCTGCCGACTACTTTGTCATGCTCGAGTAACGCGAGGTGCGCACTGTTTACACTGATGGCTAAATTTTGGTTGGTACATGCTACTAAATTCAAAAGAGTTGTTATAACTGACGCAAAATTCACGATTGATGAGCAGTAGACTATGGGGTGACTCAGAGGCATATTTTACTGTCTGTGTCGTACTGCATTTATTACTAGGATATCCACTGAGTCTACCATGTAAAACGTCTATTTTCCATGGTAAACAATGTGAGGCAACTTGTGAGAAGTTTGTTTTCCAAATTCAGCAAGGTGTCCGGTTTTACATGAATAGAGCTCCAATAAAGACAACTTGTACCTTGACAAATACACTCTTTTGTATAGTAATTTGGTCTTCGCAAGAGATGCATCCGAATTTCTCATTTATGATATTCCTTAGTTGAATGCGCTACTCAGAGGCACCTCATAATTCATTTGGTACGATATTTGAGATATCGCAGTGTATTTTTATAATGGAAATAGCAGGGAATATCGCTATAGGTTTGTTCGCACGGTTACGGAAAGAGTGTAAGTAACTTGCCATAAAGGAAACTACTTACAATACTAATGAACGCTCTTTGATAGTTCACGACAACTTTTCCACTTCTTGGGTTTCATCAGCTTGGCAAGGTCGCCGAGTTTCCGACAACACTAGGTTACATCATAAACGAGCGATTTAACTGAGTCTTCCAGAAAAAGCAAACTGATATACAGTTGAGAGTACATGTCAGAACCTGTCCAGTTTGGGTCCAAATGAAGCTCGGATACTGCGCCTACCTGATGAGTCCCAATAAGGGCGAAATCGGTCGTGTGTTGTCGAAGAGTTTTCAGCAGTTTTGTGAGTAGTTTACTTTATGACAAACTGCACCATCTCCGTAACCGTGCAAGTAAACCTGTACAGGTATTCTGAGATATTGAACCAACCTCTAACAGGAATGCTTATTCCTTCGTTTTTCCCTTGTGAAAGACCCACCTCTAAATAAAATGTCTTTTCTCATTCCAGATTTGACTGTCCTGTTGAAGAGGGCGTTCTTCTGAAGCACCCCTTCTGGAATTCACAGTGCCCGTTTGGCTTATATTTTTCCAAACCAGACGATTACCTATCTCCATTTAATGTGGTCTTGTGACCGTTTAACTGTATCAGCTGACTTATATTACAACTTGTTTGCCTTTTAAGTAACACTTAGCGCATTATAGGTAGTGGAAAAATACTATTCGACGTATCTGGTATGCAGATGACAAGACAGGAGACAAGAGGCAGACGACTTGTTACTGATCCTTTGTTTTTCACGTTAGCTGCTTTACGCTAAATAAGCGAGATTCATCTGTGGATTCTACTCATAACATGTTTTTTCCTTCCTTCCTATTGGGTTGTTTGTCTGTATGTAAAACGTTCCTTTCTGTTCGGTTCAAATTAACAGTAATAACGAAGCCACAGGAGAATATCGTCCTTGTTTGCAATAATTACTGTGATTTTTCCTTTTGTGCTGTAAGCATCTTTACTGACTTGTCTGGTTGCCCAACTAGTCTTGTCCTAGATAATATTTATAAATGTTTTACTAGCGCTGTTTCGCTTTTATGCATGTTGTTTGACAGAATAGACAAAATTAAATGTTTTGGAAATTCGACGGTTTTTTTGATGTCCAGAAGTCAATTTATCACATTGGTGCTAAAATCTCACCAATCTCGGTGATTGCGATGCCCAGGAGAATTAATTTGGGCTCAGATAATCGGAGTGCCTATCCCTGCACGTTCAAATTCCTGGGTAGTATTGATCGTAAGAATCACATTGATCTTACCCTTGGACTGTTGATCAGGGGATGCTCGCGGAGCTTGACATTCAGCTGGAAAACTGTTGGTTAGGGTACGAGCAGAAATCTTCAATGCGCATTTGTATGTCCATTTCCTTTTAGGTATACTTGAGTTTATTTGGTTTCTGTAGAGCATTTGAAGTTACGTTTTCATATTGTTTCGTCAGTCAGCCAAAAATCCGTGCTGCCTCGCTGTCCGATTTAATTGTATGTGACTGTGTCTTTAAATAGCTCCATTTTAGTAGCCTCTTCACTCTGACTGGCACGTTTTGATTTTCCATTTGACCTGTCTGTTTACATTCTGATTTGTCAACTGAACGCCTTCTAAGTTCTGGAGTTTTCTTTTTCGATCTGACTGGTCTATTCTCAAATCTGGATGCGTTATGAATGGATGTGTTATGAATTTTGGATTCTTACTAGCTCATTTGGCACCGGTTTATCCTGCACAATTGCTTTTATTTATTTAGTATTATTTACTATTTAGCCTTTTTTCTTCTGGTATCATTATCTTGGAGAAACAAATCGTTTTGGCGGTAACGCACCGAGGGAGAGAACCAGTTACCACAAGGAAAGCACTGACACCGGACACAAAAGTAGTCTGTGTTTGGCGAGATGAATACTGTACTTTCTGACCTGAACACGTGCTAGAGTGATAAAGTGCTTTATGAGTGGCAATCTCGTAATGAGTGGGTGGGAGAATTTTCGAGGCCAACTCTCAGGTAAAATTGGACCCTTTTTCCAAGTGTGACGTCACCAATACCTTGATGACCGGGAATTCATGCTCACACAATCGAACGCGATCTTCAGGGCTAATATGCTAATGTAAAATCAAACCCAGGTAGAAAACTCTTCCTTCCGTTTCGCAAAGGCGACTGTTCAATGAATGATACTTGGCTGATAGTGCAACGGTGATACTACTGATGGGAGTGGCATGCGACTAGTATGTCTTCTCGTAAATCCACCTTGGGTCTCTTGAAATGTGAAATCTATTGCGGAATGTGTGGAGTCGCTCTGTAGCATTTGCTCGCGATTGAGCAACAGCCAAGGAATATCCAGGAAAGTTCAGGAAGGCGCGTTCAAGCCGAAGATGGATATTCAGTTTTGTAAACAAGATGCATATGAGAGTTTTGCTCTCCTGCCCAATAGTCCGTAACTGTTCAGTTGACCTTTTTGATGAATAACTCCGCAGCGGAGGCCTTCTTCCTTTCAAAAGTATCAGTGGGTAGTAATAATACTTGTTCAGTTGTGACGCCCTTTCGGTGCCCAGTTCCCATATTCCCCGAAAGCAGTCCGATACAAAAACAGTTGAGATGCCTTGAGATGCCATAACCACCGAACTATCTCCATAGTAAATGGCCTTCGATCTTTTGTCTTTTTCTGCTTCGTCAGAGGATTCGGAAAGGTGTATATAACAAAACCAGTTACGCTTGGAATTACAAGAAACCGTGGTTAAATTTGTTTTGTTTTCTCAAAAAGCAATCTCAGATGTTAACAACTGTGCGCTGCGTAACATGAAGTACCACCTAGTTCTAATTGCAACTTTCGTGTGTGAACTGCGAATAATACTCAGATGCGCTTCTTGTGTTCTCCGATGTCGGATAGGTTTTCAATATCGTCCCGAGTGTATCCTTTCTGTCTCGTCATGCTAGTTGTCATTATTCTCGTGTTCAGGCCTCCCTTTCACCTTGTAGGTCTATCTGAGTGAAATAAAAGCAAGGGTACCCTAAAATTCAACCCTTAGAATACAAGTTGCCTCTCCTTGGAAACTGTAGCATCTGCAAGTCTTTGGGGTCTGTTTTCTGCCTCTTACCACGGAAATTAAGTAGCACATATGACACTGTCACTGGTTCAATACTATCTTCAGGCCATGATACAGGCCAAACTTCATTCCACATGTCTCACCAGAAAATCCAGAATTGTATGGCATCAAATGGAAAGCTTACCGTGTCATGTCGCGAGAAGTATAGTCTTTGAGTATAGTTTTAGCATCTTAAATTTGGCCCTGGAAGCCGTGGAACACTATACCTATTTCAGGATCTGCGTTAGCTAGTGCTCAAATCTAGAAGTTCAGTACTGCGGGCTGGCGGTACTTGCAGCATCAAGAAGCTACATGGCTGGGTCTCAAACGAAGCGTACACAAGACTGTGATGTGGACAGTCTCCTTGCTCGGCTGAGTGGCGGAGGACAAGAAACCTTCAGATTCTTGACCACTGTTGTCTCAGAACGATTGCTGGAGTCGGCTGAAATCGGAAAATTCGGAAAATAGTGGAAAGGCAAGCGTTCTCTGGTAAAGCTGCAATTACATCATTGAGAGACTGCATCTAGTATTGCAAGCGGGGTCGTCCATGTGTTACGCATGCCCAACTGCCGTCTACCGAGAAAACCTTCGATTTTTGGAGGAAACCTAGGAGTAGACACAGAGCGCATGATATTCACGACCTTCTGTGTCATGTCCCGTTACGCGAGCATGCTGGAAAGAACGAACTGGTCAACGAAATCGATAGTATCCCAAAGGCCAAGGAAACTGAAACCTAAGGGCACCTGTGAACTTGCCGTTCGTCTAACAGCTGATGGAATGTTAAAGTATGGTTCACTCAACTCCAGGTCAGATTCATGAAGGCTATCCTGAGGTCCGGTCCCCGGACAAAGTAAGACTTATTTTAAGCGAAACAGAGTCCGGTTACAGCGGATAACCGAGCTAATTCCATCGTAGTTACTGCGAGCAACCTCTTTTAAAATGAGCACCACAATCTACTCATTCCTGTTAGTTTGGAAGGACCTTTTTGCTCATATAGTGATAAGTAGGCTAGACAGGCAACTACGCCTTTGAGCAGAGTGTGGAGGAGTCTGTGAAGACCAAAACTGCACACGGAATATTTGCTTTGTAGCCGAAATCTCAGAATTTACAACGTAAGGGATATAAACAGTGTAACCCTTTGGGTGAACAAAAATACGCTTCATTATCATCATCATCGTCATCATCATCATCATCATCATCTTCAGGAACAGCAACATCAGAGACGACAACAGTGTTCACGCTGATGCTTCGCTGCCGTAAAACCATGGTTGACAGCCAAGTCATACAAGTCAATTGCCAAGCTCGGCGAACAGATCAACAGCCACCTGATCAACAACCAATAAACTCACCCGAGCTACCAATATTCCAACACATTACCATAATTGATTTGAAAACCCATCGTG